TATCTAGGTACATTTATTTTTAATAAATAATTTATAATATGACCTGGAGATTAAGAATAAGTTATACATATTAATTCACTTTTATGTAAATGTTGTACATGCGTAACTGCGTAAACGAATTGTTTATACAATCATTAATTAGCCATTATATATATATATATAGTTTGTACCATAAAACTTCTGTAGATATTATTACGTAAAATAATTGAATCTTATATTATTTTTATCTATTATTCATTTAGTCAAAATCGAAGTTAATTGTAAATATTGCTATATTAGTGCATTTATCATAGAAATATAATTGTATTTGCCTATTATTAAAATCAAAAAAAGAGAACAACTAATGAAAAAAATTGTCACATTTAATTAATGTTAGATATTTTTATTAAATCGTTAACAATTTTAGTTTTTAAAACTAAGTATGACCAATTGATGTTTTAAGGACGCGACAAGCACCAACCATTTGTATTTCCAGAGAAATCAGGCCAATTAAATACATTTAAATCACAAGGTATATTATTCTATTACCGTATTTATCTTTGTCTGAATTTAAAATAAAAAAATAAACTAATTGAAAATCATTGACACTCTTACTACAATATGCCTACAGAGTATTAAACCGTATCTAAATAAAAATTATAGCAAAAAAGTCAATTACTTCAAATGTACAGAGACAATCGCTAAAAATATATAACTACTCATGATGTCAGTCAAACAAACGTTCTCACACTTCTCACCCTGCATGTTCTGTTACTGTTTACATCATCTATTTTTTGTAACAACATGATTAATTAAATTCTTTATACATAAATTTAGATATTGGATATTCCGAGATACGATATTTGTCTGATTATTTCAGATCCAAGATATTACCATCAACAAACGTAATTTTAAAACTTCTAGCGAACCGTGTACACCATAATATTAATATTTTTTAATTACTACGAAAAACAATTTCTTCATTATACAGTTATAGTTTTATAAAGTATATAATATCATAAATCTATACATTAAAACAAAGTTATTGGTGTAACATATCTAACATTACCAATAATTGAAATTTACAATTATCAATACATCATTTTATGTAATATTAGGTGTATACCACGTGGCACGATCTACATATTGAATTATGTAAAACTACAAGCACAAAATAAGGAAAACGTAGAATGAAAATGATATCTTAATAAGTAGAAAAAGTAGTGTTAAAACATTTTTCTAATGCCCACTAGTATTATTTACATTTTAACAAATTTTTAGAATCTAAAGTTAAATACCTAATTTTACTTATAAAAAAAGTGGATAATTCATAAATATGGGATTAATATGTTTGTATCCTACATGGATAAATCCATAATAATTATTGTTTGTTTAATGTACTTATGTACCATTAATATTATCAATATCTGAGATAATTTATTTTAAAAAATTAAATAGAATTTTAATTTTTTTTTTCGATTAATAATTAAATACTTTTAAGAACAGTGATTAAGTAGTTCAATGTAATGTGTATATTTGCACAACACATATAATAATATTGAATACAGAATAACGAAATTAACACACGTCCTTCGACGACTGCAATAAGTGCTAATTATTGCTCCGACAGTATGAACCCGTCCCCTCTGACTATATAGTTCAGTAGGTATCCTCTCTACGAACAGTTTAATGTTGAATAGCACAACGCAATCTATATGTCACAGAAGTAAACATAAAAGATTTATGTTTATCAAAAAATATATTGAATAGAACTTGTAGTACGTACACTTTTAATGGAAAAAAAGATTTTGGAATAGAATTGTATTCACTATAGCCTATAGGTATATCATATACATGATTGCTTAATTAAAATTAAAATTTGTATCAAAAAAAAAAAAATAAATAATATTTAACTTGAATGTACCTAAATATTTAAGAAAAATTAAATCAATTAAGGACAAACTGAAACTTTTATGCACCATTATGTATGCAGCTTGCGTTTTTAACATTATATTTTTAAATTAATAATTCTATTTGATAATATTAAATAGATAGACATAGATTATAATTAGCCAATTAGTTTTATAAAATATAATGTATAATTATTTTAAAACTTGATTGCTCAAAAATGGTGTTTTATTATGTTTTGAAAAATTCTTATTAACATAATTCCTATAGTTATGTACAAAAAACGTTAATTATTATTTATTTAGTATTAATCACACATTTTGGTTAAATGGTAACGGCAACACTATACACAATTTAGTCACTTATCACTGAAGTGTTATTAAGTGTATATTAAACGACTATATCTATACAGTTATTTGTTTGTTAGTTATTCGAAGATTATTTAATTAAGGTTTAATGTATATTTTAATAGAAATAATAGAATAGACAATAATCAATAACAGTTATAATTGTAATCTATACTTAACCATATATTATGAAAAACAAGTCAAAATATAATATCACAAATACAACAAAAATAAGAAGAAATAAATCGTCAAACAACATGTACTCGTATTAAATTATTTAACTAATAATTTAAACTCTAATAAACAGAATACAACTAACAGTTCAAAAATTATCAAAACTATAATTAATTTGTTTAAAGTTTATGTTACTTCTTTATCACAATAGTGGTTTTACTATACTATAATATATGTTACTTAACATTCAATTTAAATTAAGACTCATAATATATAAATTTTCTCTCCAATAATATTGGTATATTATAAAATAGTTTTTGAGATCACACTTAAAATTACTATGCATGTTTATTGTTTGAACTTTTGGCAAATTGAATGAGATAAAACTGTGATTTTGCCATTTTGGTAAATTTGGATAAAAGATTAAGAAGAAAATGTTGGTACCTAATTATTTATTTAAATTATATCTGCATACTATACATGAGGTAATATGGTCAATGATGCGTACCTAGTGTATGTTTATGCCAAGTCTGTTGATATTAATACATAATAATATTTATATGTATATAATATATATGCATGTATTATGAATATTTTTATTTTATTTTTTAAATTTATACATAATGAAATTTTTGTTTGGGAGTAAAAAAGCTTGATATTGCAAGACATGTTTATTATGAGTAGTTTATATCTGATTCGTTTTTTTAGATAAGTTTTTTAAACTCAGTCAAAATGCAAATATTGTTTTTATTTTTTCATTTCAAAATATTAAAAATACAAAGATTTGGAGGTAAAATTTATCAAAATCGTAGACATTTGCTAATTATTTAATAGTTAAAAATGTAGGTAAGCAATTTTCAATTTTAATAGATGTACCTTGAAAATGTAGTATATCTCATAGCCAGTGCGAAAAATAACGATATAAATTATTTTATTGTAATTTAAAAACATTAATAATGAGGGGAGAGAACTTGATACTTTTACGTATTTTACTAAACACAATGACATTTTCGATATTACAGATTCATTAATTAATAACAATTATATATGATATAAATATGCATACTTAATAATTTATTATATAAAATAAATCCTATGTTTTTAGCAATAATTAATTCAACCTACTGTATATAATATATCGACGAATTATGTTATTTTAAAAACATATCGCTTTTATTTTTGATTGTGTTGCAATGATAATTAAATTTCAAAGTTCAAAGATTTATATAAATGATAAATATAGTAAAACAATTTTTTTTCATAAAACGAAGAAATTATTAAAAAAACACACCTAGAACATTATATTTACATAAAGCATTGAAAAATAAATCAACTTATAATTTTCATGTTTTTTAGCTTAAAACAAAACACATAATATAACATAATAGTATGCTATGTTGAACAAATTGATTTAGTTATCGTCAATAGTCTCATTTAGATAGCTACACGTATAAAAAATATATTCATTCCCATATGCATGTGTTATTGATTAGTATTTGACCGATAACCTGCTATGTTTTTTTATTGACAATTGTATTAGGATGACACCAACAATTGAATTTGAATAGATGTAAATAATTTATACGTGCTATACGTACTTGTTTATCGAGAATATAATTTAAAAAAGTTTTACCAATCAAATGTTTCATTTCTTTTTTTTTAATTTTTTAAGATTTTTTTTAATTTTAATCTCCAAAAAGTACCGACTAGATCCAATTTTTTACAAGAAACCCCATCCAAATTGATGATTAGATCACTTTTTCCACAAGTAAAAGCGACTTCATAAACAAAACTAAAAATCACTGAACAATAAAAACTTTATTTACTCGCTGTTTTTTATCTTTCTACTGAGATGCTACCCATATTATTTACTTTTAGTAGTTAGTACCTCCTACTTATATATTTTAGTATTATAATAATATGTAACATATGTATTTAAAAATATACATACAAGCCATAAACAAAATATAAATACTGTTACAGACTCTCCGCCGCCGTCGTGATAGTCTGAATCGGCTTTGGTAAAACGAGTCAGGCGCTAGTGGATCGTACACCCTAGTCGCAAAAACCAATCGCGCGGTTGAAGGCGGACAGAATTGTATGACCTCGTGGGGGAATTCGATCGGACGGGGCGCACGGCATAGGCAACTCAACCGACGGCCCGCCGGAGAAATCGACCCGACCGATAACGATCGGGGGATACCGGCGCGAGCGCTCATCGTCGGACGTCGTGAATAAAAATAATAAAAACCTCCGCTCAATACATCAGCGACCCCGTAAGCCGCACACAACCCCGTCAACACGCGCGCACGTTTCTCGGGCCATGGAAACTGGGGAAACTCACAGCACGCGTGCCATGATGAAGTATGATCTCTTCTCGCCGAAAAGACTTCATGTTTTTAATCGAAATAATTACACGACGTCTGTCACTCGGACCGGGGTACACGTTGTCGTACATAATATAATATCAACGTGATTAACTTTATAACAACAAGGATACGGTATCGACAGAGATCTGCGACAAACGCGGTTCCGAGTATACCTCGGTACGTATATATCTAGGTAAGTGGGTAGTTAGGCGGTGGTACTCACTGGTGGCGTAAGACGACTCCACCACAGCCGCAGCAGCGGCCGCTGCCGTCTCCTCCCTGTGTAACATCGTGGCCGCTCTGGACAGCACTTCTAACGGCGATTCGCTTTCCATTTTCCGCGCGTCCTTGTCTTCGCCGTCTGCTGCAGAGAGACGACCGGAATGTGAACACCTCGACGGCGCTTGCGATGTAATAATATGTTATTGAATCGATCGTTATACACCGCAACGGATAGGATTATGCGACGATCGCGCGACAACCGCGGAAAAAAAAACTATCGGCGACAAATGATGACAGTAGCAGCAGCAGTAGAAGAAGTAACGATAACGATAACAATAATAATATTATTATTATTATTATTATTATGCCGACGACAGTGCAGTTTTGGTGTAATCGATTTGAATACACACGACGATCCCGACCGGAGGACTTACCTGTTCTCAAACGGATTCGGTTGTGGTGTCCCGCGGGGCTGGGGAACGTCACTGCGGCATATACGTGCGCACGCGCCCGCGCTCGCGCTCTACGCCGAGTGTATAATATCCGCTCATGTCAGTGTGCGTGTGTAGTGTACGTGTTTGCGGGCATGTGTGTGCGTGTGAGTGAGAGAGTGTGCGTGCTGCGGTTTCGACAGCGCGGATCGGAATGTCAGGAATGATCGGAATTGAGTTTTTTAAAAACGCGTTTTCGCCCGGCGTGGTGCGACGGCGGTAGTGTCGGGCCGGGGACCCGCGACCGGCCCGCCGCCTGGTGGCAAACACGCGCGACATCACCGCAGCCGCCGACCGTGGCGAGGTCACAGCCGTTCTCCCGCGCGCGCCTCGCCGCCCGCTAAGAATCGGTCCACTGCTCGAGCGTACCATAATAATACGTACGATACTATTACTACCACTACTACTACTACTACTACTACTACTATAATAATATAATATTATTACGGACGTCGGTACCTATCGTCGTCGCCGCGAAAAACGTAAACAAAAAGTTCGCACCGCACGTATCGTTATGGTTAGATACTTGTAATGATGATATATTATGTCGCTCGTATCGATGACTTGACGCGACGGATATTTCCAATAGCCAAATAGGTGATTTGCGTGTATCGCATTGAAAACCGTAACGAGCAACAGAGCGACGGAAGTGAGATCGTGTCGAATGAAACATAGCAGGTGGATATGATATCAGCTAGCTTTCGCGGGTCGATCGATTTATTTTCAGTCAAATGCCACTCGTAGTCAAAACTCGTAGTTTCGGAGAAATAGCCGAGTGCAATGTACGATTAGATCCCTCGAGCTGTAACGACGTTTAAAAACTATAAAATCATTCGAATATTCTTCGAGTATCAATGTATCTGCGTGGGTATCCTTGTGTAGTGCTTTCTGTATAGGCGCGCATGTTACAAATTTATAATAACAAGTGCACACCGTCGAGTGTCCGCGACTTTGACGCTCAAGTATTATAATACCACAGTATAATATAGTTATGTATGTGATCGCAGACGTCTCATATTTTTTTGACAGAATTATTTCCGCGCTTTAAATACAAGTACTAACACAGACGGTAATATCGTCGAAGTTATTCGTATTAGCGCGCCTTCCGATTAAAGATACAGTACCATAAATTAAATATATTATTTATATATTATGTATATTTGATGTATGATAGTACAGGCCACCTTCTGTACACCGTTTATGTAATGATGACATTATTTATGTGATTTCGTGGCTTTAAATAGGTAATAAACTATAATAATATCCACGATATCGAATGACCGGCTGATCGTGCGACGTACGATCGTTGTAAAACGGAATGGGTCAATGAAATTTGCGTGAAGATGACGATGACGACGACGTCGAGTCGCGCGTTCTAGAAATTCTTTACAAATGTATGTATATATATATATTGTATGTAGGTATGTGATATGTATAGTGCAAACGTATGCGTATATGCCACCCGGATTTTAGAGAGAACGCCGCCAGTACGCACGACAATTTGTTGGCGCGCTCTTATTTGCGGGCGGGAAATGTTTAGCATTTCACAATGATGGATTTTTATAAGACCGTATCCTCCTGTATACTATATAGATGCGAACATATTGTAGTGTAAAATAGTATAAGCAGACGTACTGTTACGCTAGCGAATAGAATTTGTTTTAAATATTAATATAAAAACAATAAAAATGTGTACATAATATATACACAAGTCACAAATATTATATTAATAATAGATTCCGAGTATAATACGTTCATCGTGACGTCTAAAATTCAACAACTTTTCTCGTTCGCTGTGTGCAATTTTAGAAGAAACAAGATGCTTTATATGAGTGCACGTTATTCATACGCATAATTTAATAAATAACAAAGCAATTTAAAAGAAGCCAACTAAATTTAACTCTACACACTAACATAACGCATGGGTATAATAATATTATATTATATTAATTTATATACTATTATTCCGACAAAAATAATAAATGACCCACTATAATATTATATTAGTTTTGACTCATTTTTAAAAATGTATATATATTGTACAATATTGTAACTATATAATATGTTTATGACATTTCAAATCATAGATTACCTTGTATTTATAATGTTATTAAAACATTATTATTTATACACACTGTGGTGACCTTTATAATAATAATAAGCAATCGTATACTATGTACGAGTATATTGTGCATGCACAGTATACAGTAAAGCTAGTAATAGTGTGCTGTGTGAAATATACACAAATCACAATCTTTTTTTCTATGTCGTAGGTATTGAAAATTCAAAATATTGGAGACCAAAAAATCTAGTGTTATAAATTTTTCAATGAAGTAATACCTATAATATAAATATGTATATCGTATAATTATTATATATGTATTACACATATATAATATTTTGTACCATACTACTTTATAGTTATATTGCGTGTACTGTATATATCAATAGGGCAATAGCTCATTATAATAAATATTAAGGAATTTGACCTTGAGAGGTGAAAGATGGAAATTTTATTTTACCACTTCACCTAACTTTTGTATGAAATCTTTTTTTCTAGTAAACTAGTTTTTACTAAAATTTTCCGAATACAACTTCATATGATTATAATATAATACATATTTATAATGAACATGAAAATGTTATTTTTTTATTATTATTATTATTTTTAGGCCAATTATATATATTTTTCTATGCGTATAATAAGTGTTAATGATCGTTATCTTTTATAGCTTTGTGCAGACTTATTTTAAAATTAAAATTTCCTTAAATCCTCTTTTTGTATATCCGGTTGTGTTAATTATTTCTAGTTGCCTGTGTATGCTATGGAATCACAAATATGTTTATACTCATTCATTGTTGTTATTATTATTATCAAATATAACTAGGTCAAAGCTCGAGGCTCGCTTGTTGCCAGCAACAAATGTAATAGTAACAAATTATGTACTAAAGTACTACAGTATAGTATGTATGTACACACTAAACCCATGTAGGTAGATACTTGTATTTAACACATAAATAATTCGAACTTATTTTTATAAAAATATAGGTAATAAAATTCTATTTATTATGTTTTTTTAGATAATACAATTATTTGGATTTGGTAAATTTTTAAATTTTTAATAGTTAAAATATTCTAATATAATATTTCATCAATTTTTATTATTTTTGAAATTTGTTGTATTTTTATGTTTTTATAATAAAATAATATAACTAATTAAAGTGTTATAATTCTTGAAGTCTCGGAGGCTTATCAATCAACCCTCCTATGGAAAACCATTGTTCTGCTTTTCTTCACCTACTTCTAAAACTTCTAATGTATAGCAAATGCTAATATTACATTTGGTGGAAAATTCAAACTATTAAAAGATAATGATTTTTAAATTACAAAAAAAAAACAAACTAGATTTAGTCAAAGGCAAATTTGACATATATCAATTTAAGCTTTATTTTTCCTAATTTCTGTTTTCCCCAATTATTTTTAAAAATATTTAATTATAATAAATAAATAATAATATACATATACAAAACTTTAAAAAAAAATATCCTTAAACGTTTTCATGATAAAATCTGTAATCTCCTTAGCTATCCCCCCCCTATAAAGAGTAAATACTGTTGGCGGTATGTCAGTATGTACGTGTATCATGGGCAGCGTTGGTTTTCTCGGCAGATTTATTCCATAGTAGTTTGTCAATGCTAATTACAACACACCACGGCAATTTATAAATTTTATTATTTCGAGAAGACATAGACTTTTGAAATTTTCAACTTTTTTAGTATTTTTTTTGATTTGATTATGTATGATATATCATGATTATAATGTTAGTGAGTAAAATTATCTAACTATTTTATACAAAGTTCTTTATAAGTTGTTTAAACGCAAAAAAAAAAATTGAAAAAACTGGATCATATTTTTATTTTACAATCGCTCTAAGTTCGAATTTTATAAAATTCGACAAAATTATAAAATGTGTTCGTTATTTTGTAATATAAATAGTATTTATCGATTTTAATATTTACCTATAAGGTATAAGCATTAAAAACTTAATACAAGATTTTTCAAAATTTGTTCTCATAAGAAGTTTAAAATATTTAAAATACTAGTGGTGTCACTAATATCCGGATTCAAATACTATTCGAATAATCCGGATATTTTAAACTTATTGCTTACTCATTAAAAAGACGTGATCTGTATTCTATGTTATGAAATTTAATATTATTAACTACTACCTACTGGCTATATACTGCATCAATCGTCAACAATTTTTAAAACCTTTCTTTATAATCATAAGATATGTGAAAATTTGAATTATTTGAATTATTCGGATTATTCGGATTATTCGGATTATTCAGTTAATTTTCGGATTAGGATTTTTGACATCACTAAAAAATACATAGACATGATTTTGTTTTAGTGGCAATTTATTTAAATGTTTAATAACGATTTATCCTCAAACGATTTTTGTTTTGTTTTTTTAAGTTATTATTCAAACCGTTTTACACTTTTACATGGTATAGGCATATACCTAACTATACTGACGCAGCATTGACTTATAAATTATTAAATAAAAAATATTATAATTTGATATAAATATCAATTCTAGAGGTCTCCGATTAGAATCTTTTTTGTATAAAATGATCTATCAATGAATTCAAATATTACATTTACTTTACGATATACTTAATACCTAATGGCTATAAGTAGGTACACTCGAAATCTATCAAACAGCTAATAAACCATTTCCAGGTTTTTAATCCTGTTAATTTATACATATTTTTGTACTTAAATAAATAGTAAATTTAAACATTGTTTTCAATCTGAAAATAATAGTAATGTTAGTATTATTGAAACTATTTTAACGAATTAATTTATAATAATTGTTTCACAAATTTTACTTGGAATTAATAGACAGAATAACAAATTATTATATATTGTAACAACATTATTGTACTGTATTATTAAATAAACTTACAAAGTATATCTCAAGGATTCTAAGTTATAGAGAGAAGCAATAGACAATAACCCTATAGCACATAAGCATCAACGCTTATATTTATAAAATCAGTATTGACTTCAATATAGAGATAAAGGTTTTTAATTATAAAAAATAATTTGCGCACAATAAATTATAAACATTAAACACTTAAAGCAAAACGTTAACAGTT